CTCTATCTCTCCATTTCTCCAATTCAGTGTGTCTTGCACATGGCTCTGAATAAAGTTGGCTGGGGGGGCTCAGTGGAATCTCTTCTCATTAGTGTCTCCAAGAGCTTAGTGCTGGTTTCTTTTAGCTGAATGTACCTTCACCCTCTGACCATGTAACTGATGTTTTCTTAATTATTCTTCTCCCCATAAATGAATTGTTCAGCTTCCTTGACGAGTTCTGAAAATACCATGCAAATACTAGTGACAAGAATCTACCCAGACTTTATTGCTAGTGGTAAGTACATTTCTCCATTTATGGAAGGAGTTGGTCCAAATGTCACCCAACCCATGATGAAGTAAATTAAAACCCCTACTTAAAAGGCTTTTCAACAATATTGATGTTTTCCATGTGAGAATGTTGCTGTGGATGGCAGCTTTCAATTATCCCTTGGATTTCGGTTTTTGCTCTTCTGAATCCACAGTTGAGGTTTCATTATTTCAACCTTTCATATCCACTGCGGTTGAACCTAAAGATCGGCCCATTGGAATTTGCCACGCCGTGGAAACTCCATTCTTCAGCCAGCCCTGCGTTTCCCGAGGAAAGTCCTCACAAATGCCAATCAAGGTTCCTCAAAATAGCTTGTAAGAGAATCAGAAGAATTTCCACCTCATGTCCTGGTCTGAGTATTAGGAGAATATCTACCCCGTGTGTTTAAAATTATTCTACGTAGTGCACATTGCGTAGTGTAGCACGAAAGTTTGCTTCAGTTGTTTGTTTTAATTTTCTCTCTTTTACTTCCCTTGGGTGCAAGTGTGCGCGCGCGTGTGTGGTTGTCTAATTTCTCTGGAAATGCTGATCCAGTGTGTTAACCCAGCCTCTTCTCTGTGCCATGCCGAGTTTCCTGCTGCATAGCTGATTCATATTCCAGGCATTGCTTGGAGAGTCCATTTATTGAAGGGGCTGGAGAGAAAAGAAAGAAAGAAAGGTTAGTCTCTGAATTTTAATGCGTTGGCAGAGGAAGGCTAGCACCCTGATTCTAGACTTTGGTCCAACACCATGGCCGGGATGAACAGAAGTGGCTCGTTGAGTCTCAGTTGATCACATCTCAATCTGTTGTCAATCAGATGTAGGGCCATTAGTGCCCAGCCGATCTACATTAGACTAGCTTGATGGCCATCCATGTATGTCTAATCTTGGTTGTGCCCAAATCAGAATTGCAGCAGATAGAAGGTTAGCCACAGAACAGACACCAGTATGAATTATTTGACTCATGAGAACATTAGAACATCCAATCTGGGTCAGACCAAAGGTCCATCTAGCCCACTGTCCTGTCTGCCGACAGTGGGCAATGCCAGGTGCCGCAGAGGGAGTGAAGAGAACAAGTAATCATTGAGTGATCTCTTCCCTGTGGTCCATTCCCGTCTTCTGACAGGGGCTCGGGTCACTACTCCTACCCATCCTGGCTAATAGCCATCGATGGACCTTGCTTCTGTAAATCTATCTAGCTCTTTTTTTAACCCGGTTTAACTCTTGCTCTTGCACTCATGCTTTTCATAGAATCATAGAATAATAGGACTGGAAGGGACCTCAAGAGGTCATCGAGTCCAGCCCCCCGCCCTCAAGGCAGGATCAAGCTCTGTCTACACCATCCCTGACAGATGTCTATCTAACCTGTTCTTAAATATCTCCAGAGAGGGAGATTCCACCACCTCCCTTGGCAATTTATTCCAATATTTGACCACCCTGACAGTTAGGAATTTTTTCCTAATGTCCAATCTAAACCTCCCCTGCTGCACTTTAAGCCCATTACTCCTTGTCCTGTCCTCAGAAACCAAGAGGAACAAATTTTCTCCTTCCTCCTTGTGACACCCTTTTAGATATTTGAAAACCGCTATCATGTCCCCCCTTAATCTTCTTTTTTCCAAACTAAACAAGCCCAGTTCATGAAGCCTGGCTTCATAGGTCATGTTCTCTAAACCTTTAATCATTCTTGTTGCTCTTCTCTGTACCCTTTCCAATTTCTCCACATCTTTCTTGAAATGTGGCGCCCAGAACTGGACACAGTACTCCAGCTGAGGCCTAACTAGTGCAGAGTAGAGCGGCAGAATGACTTCACGAGTTTTGCTTACAACACACCTGTTGATACAACCTAGAATCATATTTGCTTTTTTTGCAACAGCATCACACTGTTGACTCATATTCAACTTGTGGTCCACTATGACCCCTAGATCCCTTTCTGCCATGCTCCTTCCTAGACAGTCGCTTCCCATCTTGTATGTATGGAACTGATTGTTCCTTCCTAAGTGGAGCACTTTGCATTTCTCTTTATTAAACCTCATCCTGTTTACCTCTGACCATTTCTCTAACTTGCTAAGGTCATTTTGAATTATGTCCCTATCCTCCAAAGAAGTTGCAACCCCACCCAGTTTGGTATCATCTGCAAACTTAATAAGCGTACTCTCTATCCCAATATCTACATCATTGATGAAGATATTGAACAGTACGGGTCCCAAAACAGACCCTTGAGGAACTCCACTTGTTATCCCTTTCCAGCAGGATTTAGCACCGTTAACAACAACTCTCTGACTACGGTTATCCAGCCAATTATGCACCCACCTTATCGTGGCCCTATCTAAGTTATATTTGCCTAGTTTATCAATAAGAATATCATGCGAGACCGTATCAAATGCCTTACTAAAGTCTAGGTATATGACATCCACCGCTTCTCCCTTATCCACAAGGCTCGTTATCTTATCAAAGAAAGCTATCAGATTAGTTTGGCATGACTTGTTCTTCACAAACCCATGCTGGCTATTCCCTATCACTTTATTACCTTCCAAGTGTTTGCATATGATTTCCTTAATTACCTGCTCCATTATCTTCCCTGGGACAGATGTTAAACTGACCGGTCTGTAGTTTCCTGGGTTGTTCTTATTCCCCTTTTTATAGATGGGCACAATATTTGCCCTTTTCCAGTCTTCTGGAATCTCCCCTGTCTTCCATGATTTTTCAAAGATCATAGCTAAAGGCTCAGGTACCTCCTCTATCAGCTCCTTGAGTATCCTGGGATGCATTTCATCAGGACCTGGTGACTTGCTGACATCTAACTTTCCTACGTGATTTTTAACTTGTTCTTTGTGTATCCTATCTTCTAAACTTACCCTCTCTCTGCTTGTATTCACTACGTTAGGCACACCTCCAGACTTCTCGGTGAAGACCGAAACAAAGAAGTCATTGAGCATCTCCGCCATTTCCAAGTTCCCTGTTACTGCTTCTCCCTCCTCACTAAGCAGTGGGCCTACCCTGTCCTTGGTCTTCCTCTTGCTTTTAATGTATTGACTAAGCACTGACTAAGCACTGAGTGAAGAAACACTTCTACCTCTTTATTTCATTTGGTGTCTCTCAGTTCTTACATTGTAAGAATAAGTAAATAACTTTTCCTTGTTCACTTTTTCCACACCTGTCATGGTTTTATAGACCTCTATCGTATCACCCAATGTCTCCCCATTTCTAACCGTTTAAGTCCCAGTTTTATTAATCTCTCTTCATGTGGCAGCAGTTCCAAACCCCTCAGCATTTTTTGCCCTTATCTCAATTTTTTCCAGTGCTGAGATACCTTTTTGAGATGGGGCGACCACCTGTGTATGCAGTATCCAAGATATGAGTGTTCCATGGATTTATATAGAAGCATTAATATATTCTCTTTCTTATTCTCTATCCCTTTTTAGCTCTCATTGCTTCTTTTCCTTGGTAAAGACACAGTGACCCTTTTTTAATTCGGGTTACAGAATTACATTGGGCCTTTATTATGGTGTGTTTGAAAAGTTTCCATGCAGCTTGCAGGGATTTTACTTTTTTCAATGTACCTTTTAATTTCTGTTTGCCAACCCCCTCATTTTTGTGAAATTAAATGCCCCAGTGTTGGGCTGCTGAGGGAAGTTAAATATTATCACACTATGGTCACCGTTTCCAAGAGGTCCACTTATATTTATGTCTTGGAAGAGATCCTGCACTACATTTAGGATGAAATCAAGAATTTACTCTCCCCCTGTGGAATACAGTACCAGCTGCTCCAAGAAGCAGTCATTTAAGGTGTCAAGAAATGTTATCTCTGCATCCCGTCCTGAAGTGTTGTGTGCCTGGTTAATATGGGGATAGTTGAAATTCCCCCCACTATTATGAAGTTTTTAAATTTGATTGACTCTCTCATTTCCCTGAGCATTTCATAGTCACTATCACTGTCCTGATCAGGTGGTCGAAAATATTTCCCTATGTCTACATGATTTTTATTGGAACATGGAGTTACTACTCAGAGATTCTATGGAACATTATGGCTCATGTAAGATTTGTACTTCATTTAATTCTGCATTTTCATTCATGTATAGTGCCCGTCCCCCGCCAGCCCAATCAGTTCTGTCCTTCTGATATAGTTTGTACCATAGTTTGTATGACTGGGTCCTACTGATTGTCCTCATTCCACCAAGTTTCGGTGATGCCTACTGTATCAATATCCTCCTTTAAAACAACGCACTCTGGTTCGCCCATCTTATTATTTAGACTTCTAGCGTTTGTGTATCAGCACTTTAAAAAAATGTCACTATGCAGGGGTCTGCCATTACCTGATGTGATTGGATGGGACTCTTTCCTTTGACTGTTTCTCAGATGATCTTACCCATGTTTTATCATATTCCATCCTCCCCTCTTTACTAGGACATAGAGAACCTCTATTAATAGACCCTGCCCTCAGAGATGTCTCTGTCCAATTCATGTGCTTCTTTGCACTTGTTGACTTTCCTCCAGCCCTTAGTTTAAAAACTGCTCTACAAACTTTTTGATTTTAAATGCCAGCAATCTGGTTCCATATGGGTTTAGGTGGAGCCCATTCTTCCTCGATAGGTGCCCCCTTTTCCCAAAATTTCCCTATCTCCTAATTCCCTATCTCCTCGAGTCTACACCTTCATTTCATCCACACATAGAGACCCTGCTATTATGCCTGCCTACCTGTCCTGGAGCTTAGAACATGCTTATGTTTGGTGTTTCTCAAGCTGAGTCACTTCTTTTCTCACCCCTGCAGATGTCCTATTCTGAGAGTGATCCTGCCAAGAACCAGACCATCGCTGATGGGATCATCCTGGTGGGGTTTTCCTTCCTTCATGAGAAGCAAATTATTCTTTTTCTTGTGCTTCTGGTTCTCTACCTAGTCATCCTGTTGGGGAACCTGTTTGTTATCCTCCTGATAAAGCTCAACCCTTCCCTCCAAATCCCCATGTATTTCTTCCTGGTCAACCTGTCCTTCCTGGACATCGGCTACATCACCAGTGTGATCCCTCAGCTGCTGGTTCATCTGTTGGAGGAGCAAAAAACCATCTCCCTCGTGGGCTGTGCGGTCCAGATGTTTTTCCTCTCCACCATGGACCTCGCAGAATCCTGCCTGCTCACGGCCATGGCCTACGACCGCTACGTGGCCATACACAGCCCCTTGCAATACACGACCATCATGAGCAGCCGGACATGCCTGCTGCTTGCGGGGGCTTCGTGGTTCACTGGCATTTCAGTGCAAATAATTCAGACCACATGGATCTTCAGCCTGCCCTTCTGCGGCTCCCACCGCATCCACCACTTCTTCTGCGACATCCCAGTCGTGTTGGACATGGCCTGCGCCGACACATCAAAAAACGATATCATGCTCCTGATTATGGTGTTCATCACATGTCCTTTTTTGCTGATACTCCTGTCCTATATCTGCATTATCACCACCATCCTCAGGCTGCCGTCAGCAGAGGGGAGGCGTAAAGCCTTCTCCACCTGCTCCTCCCATCTCATGGTGGTGACTTTCTACTATGGAGCGGGATATTTTGGCTCGCTGGTGCCCAAATCTACCTCCACTCTGGAGAGAGATCTCATGATTTCACTTGTTAACACAATTGTTATACCAGTGTCACACCTCTTAATTTACACTCTCAGGAACAAAGAAGTGAAGGGAGCCTTTGTCAAAACAGTAGAGAAGAGCATCTTTGCTCACAACTGGAGAAATCAGAGAATGAGAACCAGAGTTAGATAAACAAGGGGAGGGAGGAAAATTCACAAACATTTTCTTGAATTATGCCCAATGACCCTCAGATTTGCCATTTGAAAAACATTGATCTTCTCTAACTCTGTCCAGAAGATGAGAAGAGTGGTCCCTCTGTTCTAATTTTGATAACATCCCACAGCCATTATGAATGAATTCCTGTGTCAGTCACTTCTAGGTTTTGCAATGCCTAAAATGATCTGGTTACACAATGACTGCATCTACATTGGCATGATTTTCCCGAAATGCTATTAACGGAAAAGTTTTCCGTTAAAAGCATTTTTGGAACAGAGCATCTAGATTGGCACGGACGCTTTTCTGCAAAAGCACTTTTTGCGGAAAAGCGTCCGTAGCAATCTCGACGTGCTTTTCTGTAAAAAAGCCCCAATCGCCATTTTCGCGATCGGGGCTTTTTTGCGGAAAACAAATCTGAGCTGTCTACACTGGCCCTTTTGTGCAAAAGCTTTGCGCAAAAGGGACTTTTGCATGAACGGGAGCAGAATAGTATTTCCGCAAGAAGCACTGATTTCTTACGTAGGAAGTCTGTGCTTTTGCGGAAATTCAAATGACCAGTGTAGACAGCTGGCAAGTTTTTCCGAAAAAGCAGCTGATTTTCTGGAAAAACTGGCCAGTCTAGACACAGCCTATCACTCTGGGAGATGGCTGCAAACTTTCATAGCATTTTGCAAATGCACAGAGGCCTTTGCTCGCAGATCTTGGCACATCTCATAGATTCAATGATTAAAAAAACAGGCAGGGCGGTTTTGAACATCAAGCCTCAGCTCCTGCTTTATCAGGACAGAATTTGACCTGGTGAGTGAGAGAAACACTGTACATAATTTATATTCCATCTGTAAAATAACAGCTGTGTCCAAACCTCATAGAACTGGAAGAAATTTAATCCATGTATACAAACGTTGCCCCAGATGCCTGTGTATATAGCACATACTTGTAGAACTATAAGATAAATATACTTTTTGTATATTCTTTTGATGAAACATGCTATTCTCCTTGCTCCTCTGTCTATATCACTGCCTACAGATAATAAATACCAAATGAAAAGCCTCTATCCCTAGCTCATTTACATGACTCTATTTCTTTCCCACAACATCCTTGGAGTGCATCTATACGAAGCTCAAAATACCTAGAGACTCTAAGATGCCATCCCTCCCAGTTTGTGAAGGGTTTTTGTTATTTCTCTTTGATCTTCCATGGTCTACAAATAAAAAAAGAGTCGCATAAAAAGTGGAAACTAGGTCAAATTCCATGATTTGATGAATATAAGCAAACAGCACAGGTCTGCAGGGGCAAGATTAGAAAGGCAGAGGCACAAAAAGAGCTAAATCTAGCTAGGGGCATAAAGGGTAACAGGAAGCTGTTCTAAAAGTATGTAGAAGCAAGAGGGTATGTTAGAAGACCAAGTACAGGATGGGCCCTTTAGCTCAGTGAAGAGTGAGAACCAATAACAGGAAACTTGGAAATGGCTGAGGTGCTTAATGACTTCTGTGTTTTGGTTTTTGTGAATAAGATGCATGGTGATGGGATGCCTAACATGGAGAATGTCAGTAGAAATAGGGTAGGGTGTGATCTTAAAATAAAAGAACAAGTTACAAATGACTTAGTAAAATGAGATGTCTGCAAGTCTCCAGGGCCTGATGAAATGCCTCCTAGAATACTCACGGAGCTGAGAGAGGAGGCATCTGAGCCTTTATCTGTTATCTTTGAAACGTCATGGACGTCGGGAGAGATCCCGGAAGACTGGAAAAGGGGAAATCTAGTGCCCATCTATAGCAAGGGAAATAAGAACCAGCCAGGAAACTACAGAGCAGTCAGTTTAACTTCTGTGCCAGGAAGATAACCGAGCAAGGAATGAAGGAATTTAAATGCAAACACCTGGAAGATAGTAAGGTGATAGGGAACAGCCAGCATGGATTTGTAAAGAACAAACCACGTCAAACCAATCTGATAGGTTTCTTTGATAGGATAATGAGTCTTGTGTCTAAGGGGGGAGCAGTGGACATGGGATACCTAGACTTTAGTAAGGCGTTTGATACAATCTAGTATGATCTTCTTATCAACAAATTAGGGAAATACAACCTAGATGGGGCTACTATAAGGTGGGTGTATAACTGGCTGGAGAACCATTCTCAGAGAATAGTTATTCACGGTTTACAATCCCGATGGAAAGTCATAACAAGTGGGGTTCTGCAGGGGTCTGTTTTGAGAGTGGTTTTGTTCAATATCTTTATCGACAATAGATTTAGATATTGGCATAGAGAGGATGCTTTTAAAGTTGCAGATTATACCAAGCTGGGAGGCGTGGCAAGTGCTTTGGAGGATAGGGTCAGAATTCAAATTGATCTGCACAAGCTGGAGAAATGGTCTGAGGTCAATAGGATGAGGTTTAACAAGGACAAATATAAAGTGCTCTTCTTAGAAGGAACAATCCGTTTCACACACACAGAATGGGAAGCGACTGTCCAGAAAAGAGTCCTGCAGAAAGGGATCTTGGAGTCACAGGGGGTGTGTTGTACCTAGACTTTAGTAAGGCTTTTGATATGGTCTCACATGACTTTCTTATCATGGTGCCCATCAACTCTGCCCCATTGCTGTATTTGACTCAGCCCTGGGACACACTGCATTGTGCTGCCAGCGCCCATTTATCCTGCCTCACCGCCTGTGTAACTCCAGCCCTGGATCCCACCCCACAGCCTTGCCAGTACCCATCCATCCTGCACCCCCCAACCCTGTGTTACCCCAGCCGTGGGACCCACCCCACAGCTCTGCCAGTGCCCATTCATCCTGCCCCCCCAACTCTGTGTTACCCCAGCCCTGAGCTCCCACTCCCAATTACCCTGGGTATTGTTCCTGCCCCTGACTCTGTGTGTTGGGGACAGAACTCTCCTTTTTCTGGACGGCAGTGTCCCACTCTTCACCACAGCCAGGAAATCCCATTACAGTTGTTCATCGAGAAAACAACCTAGACAATTGTGAGGCTGGTACAACCTCCTGTGGCCTGACGGAGGCAGTGAGTGTTGCTTGGCTGCTGTTCCAGGCCAGGAGGCTCTTCCTCTGGGAATTATTCCCAGCAATTTCCCGTGGGGACTTGCTCCCAGAAGCTGGGGAAGGAAATCAAATCTCCGCTGTTCCCTTCAGCTGGTCCAGCGTCTCCAGCGAGCGGAGGGAGCTGCCTTTCTCAAACTTGGGAGTCGATACATGAATGACCGAAGCTCCCAGACCTTCTCCCTCTTAAGGGTGTTAATTAACTTCAGTTTTCTATATGTGGCAAAGAATCTTACGATATGAATGCAGGCGTAACTCAGACTAAAACACACATCTGTCTGTCTGCCTGTCTATCCCCATCCACCCTCTCTCTCTCTCTCTCTCTCTCTCTCTCTATCTATCTATCTATGGATATGTCTACACTACAGAGTTAGTTCGAACTAACTTTCATAGGTGCTACACTAGCACTCCGCTAGTTCGAACTAGGAAAACCTCATTTTACGAGGATTAAGCCTAGTTCGAACTAGCTAGTTCGAATTAAGGGCTGTGTAGCCCGTTAATTCGAACTAGTGGGAGGCTAGCCCTCCCCAGCTTCCCTGGTGGCCACTCTGGCCAACACCAGGGAAACTCTTCTGCCCCCCTCCAGGCCCCGGAGCCCTTAAAGGGGCATGGGCTGGCTACGGTGC